GTTAAGAGTGTACCAAGGCATCCAACTTGAGTAAATCCATCATAGTATTATGAAAGATATAAGCTTAGATAGAACTTGACTTGATGTAAAAATCTTCAAAATTTTGATTTGGTCCATCAAACTTTACCAACATATTAATCCTTAAATCCCTTATATTTATAATAGCAAAAATTCTTGAATTCAGTTATGAACTTGATTTACTTGTTTTTCTAAATTGCACAATTTCTTAGTATAAAGATTAAACTTTAATCTTTTATTGACTTCTTCTATAAGCGCATGAATAGTACATCTATGGTCAATGTTATTAATATATGAAATTGCAACCTTATAAAGCTTTTAAGCTTTATAAAGGATTATAAGTGTTTATAAGCTTATAAAGATTTGCAATAGTTACAATTCTAATTTCACTTTTGCTAAATGTAGCATTAATAATTATTTATTCTAATTTTATACCAAATAAATTTAACAAATCTATAAGTAAAATTAAAAGAAAATAATTTGTAACTTTTAGTATTAAATTAAAATTTTTACAACAAAGATAGTGAATTGTCTTCAAAGAAAGTACAATGTTAGAAAAAAAAAATGTGAATTTAAAGGTAGATAGTATGCAACCTTTAAATTAAAATAAAAAAATAAAATAATTTATCTATTTTTTTTAAAAAATAAATTAGTAAAATATTAGTCTTGTCAAATTATTAAAGATATGAATCATAAGCAATCAAAAAATCAATACATTCTTGTATTACTAGAAATGAATATCTATTTTTTAAAATAGTATAATATTAAAGTAAAAATGACTATTATCAAAAATAAAATAAAATAAAATAAAATAAATAAACTCTTAAAACAAGACTAATAATAAAAAAGACCTCTTTCTTGCCTTCATATATACTATCTAAATAGGAACTATATGGTGATGTTCTATGAGACCTTCAACATATGTTCAACTTGCAAGACACATGTATAACTTATAAGATAAGATTCTTATATGTAAGCCACATAGTCAACTCATATCACAAGTTGTCAATTTTTAAACAAAAAGTACTAAGACAACAAACAATCTAAGTTGAAAATTCTTTATTTTCATCAAAACAATTCCATTTAAATGCTTAAGATCAAAATAAAGGCTCCAAACTACATAAAAAAATTCTTAATGGTTTCTTAAGCTTCACCTTTTTTTCCTAAGAGATTAAAGTGAATCCTTCACTTCCACACAATTTTTTAAATAAAAATAATTAAAAAATGATGTATTTTTCAACCAAAAAATATACCATGTACATATTCAAGCAAATTTTCGATTCAATATAGAAATTCAATATGCTTTTAACTAAGATGTCACTAATACTTCTCATGGCAATCTATTTTTATTTATATGGTATATTTTTTTATCAAATATGCCAAAATAACTTTCACAAGCATATTGGCTTCTTGGTCAAATAAAAATACAAATTTAGGGCCTTTCCTACACATCCATTCAAGTTTCCATGGTTTTTTTTTAAAATACTAAAAAATGGTTTTAAGCTTACACTTACAGTTGATCATAAACAAGCAAATTTTAATAGATTGTTCTTTGCTCAGTATTTAAATTGACATTTTAAATAGATATGTTCTTTGCTCAATACATAATTATGCTAACATATCTATTTAAATTATATCTATGTTCTTTGCTCAGTATTTAAATTGATATTTTTTGAATTTGGCCCAAAGATCTTTTTTCTCTATTATTTTCTTGTGATTCCTTAACATTCACCATGAAAAAATCTTCTACTTCATTTGTAAACATTTGTGCATCAATACAAACTAGTATTTACTTGTTTGTAACTATGGCCTTGTCTTCTCTTCATCTTCACATCTTTAGCTTGGTTCCTAATGTCTACTTTTCTACTAATTACTATCTAAACTAATTGAAACACCAAACTAAAATAATACTAAAATCCTTCTCTGAAAAATAACCAAATACTTTTATCAAGATAATTCTTAATAGTACATTACATTGTTTAAGCCTAATTACATAATTTGAACTAAAAATTTAAATATAAATAACACAACTTTTAATTTTTATTTAACCAATTTTTTTAATCTATAACAATATTCTAGTATCAAGATAGCTTTGTAATCCTTTTAACTTACACATCTAGTAAAAAAAAAATAAAAAAAAAATCTTAACAAATACTGTGCCAAAATCTAAGAAGTACATATCAACACATGTAACATATGGCCAACTTTGTTGGCCAAGTTTTCAATCTCTAAATCACTTGCAAATACATATATGATCAATTTTGCATCTATGAAGCTTCTAAAAAGCTCGTCCATTAGATATTATCTAATTTACCTACTTTTACTTATTTTTATCTCAATTATTTTTATTTGAGTAATTATAAAATTCAATTATTTTTATAACAATAATTATTTTAGATAAAATTTTCTTATTTTTTTAAGCAACTTTTTAAATTTATTCTAATTGATCTAGACTATTTTCTTTGCATCAAAAGCCTAAACTTATTTCTATATTAATTTATTAAATACTATTATAATTTATAAATTTTTAAAACTTTCTTTAATTTATTATAGTAATTTATTAGAAGTTCTATATTCAAATTATTAAAAGAAAGATATCATATTATTGATAATATGAATTTTAAATTTTAAATTTATTTTAAAATAATAATAATAATATATTATTTTAAATTTATATATATATATATATATAATTGATATTGCTAATGCCACCAAAGTTTTTGCTACTACGTCTATAATTTATTTTTAATAATTATTTTTATTAAAATAAATTTTACTATCTATATAATTTAAAAAAAATATTAGAAATAATAATAAGATATTTTATAAAAAAGTTATAAAATAATTGATCATAATTGCAAAAATAGTGGTAGCATATAGTGGACAAAAAATTACCGTGGTAATAGCAAAAATTATAGTAGCATTAATAATATATATATATATATATATATATATATATATAAATATATATATATATATATAATATTTTTTAGCTATCTAATTTATATTAACATATATTAAATTTATTTTTAATTTTTTCTAATATAATATAATGGCTTTTGTAATAAAAATTTAAGTATTAGTATTTGTAGCACTTATTAAAATAATAATAAATGAAATAGTAGACTCAAACAAACAATGTCAAGATGGATTATATCTATTGTAATTAAACAATAATATTAAGCATATTAAGAAGTTTAATATTAAATAAAAAGTTTAATTTTAAAAATTAGGATTATTCTTGTATTTTATTAAGCATAATCTTATTAATAAACATCTTATTTAGTATCCTATTGTGATAAGGACATCTATTTGGTGTTAGAATTAGTGCATGTTTAGATGCAATTTTAGTAAAGCCAATACAATCATTTAGTTTGTACAATAATTTGATTGATATCTTCAACAATAATGGCTTTACAACAACATAAATCAAACCATTAACTTCATCAAGAACTTGTATCTTTGTTGACTATTAATTGTTGAATAAATTCATTTATAATAATGAGTCTACACATTTAAATATCATTTAAAGATGACATTTGAGTATCATATGTTCTTCTATTGTAAATAGCTATGTTATCATTTTTTCCACATTAGTTTGACATGAGAAGACAAATACTGACATGAATCATAACATGGGTTGGAATTAAAAGTGCATTTATCAATTTATATAATAAAAATTAAATTTGAATCATTGAATTTGAAAATTCGTGGTTTAGTATGATTTTGGTTCAGACAATATGTTACAGATTTGGTTTGATTTGAGAGTGGCTTAATTCAAATTAAATCATAAATAAATAAATAAATTGTGATGACTTATAACAACAGTTTTTAATTAGCAATTGAGCTCCTTGCTTTATTTTAAGAATAACATGTTAAAACTATGGAATTCTAAATTCTTATAGAGAAGGTAAGAATCAATTTTTATAGAAATTTGTTCTTTAAAATTATACTACAACATTAAAAGAAAATTAAAACAAAAATATTTTATGTTCCTTGAAAAAAGGACAACCTACAATATAATTAAAAGCAATCAGGTGTGGCTCTTGGTATCAACCGTGGATGTTGAGCCTTTCCCTACCTCTCTTATTTATTAAGACACTTAAATGAGGCACAAATTAGCTATCAATTTTAGATGAAATTATAGATGGATGGAAGCATGAAGAGATGTAATGTCCTTGGAGTGGTTGCACTTAAACAAACAAACACCATTGTTTTCAATATGCAAGATAATATATTAGAAAAAAATAACATAAATATATGGTGCAACTGGTATATAAGTAAAATGTTGTTTTTAATAATACGTATATATTTATTAATTTTAAATCATATATTATATATATTAATAAGGAAATTAAGTAACAAAAATTATAAAAAAAAATATTTGCAACTCTTATATATGTTTGGCTAATTTTTTTAAAAAATATAGTTCAAAAAATGGTTTTAAAAATTTAAATCTACTTTTAAAAATTTCAGCCAATCCCCTTGCATTTTAAACATTATTTAAATTTTTAAAATATAGTTCAAAAATATTACCCTAATTTTTATTCCTTTAATAAAAAAATTTGTAACCTTAAGATTTTTGAACTTTTGAAAATAGAATTCAAGGACTTACTTTGCATTTGTGCAAATCATGTTAAGTAAACAATAATTCTACAAATCTCATTCATTCATATATGTACATATATTTCTGCATACCTATTAACATCAAAGTACACTCATCAACCCAATAGTTTTTTGACAACAATTTATTCAATTAAATTGAAGTGTCTTTCTTTGCTTCTTTTAACACACAATCCACCAAACAGATCCACGACCGCCACGTTGCTATCGAAAGGTTCCATAATCCCGTTCACACTGCAAAGAGATCCTGTTGGTTCATGAAACAATGCAAGGGGATTGAGCAATTGTGGGAGAGAGAGAGATTACTTGGCCTACTATTTGCAGTGAACCACAGTGAGTGACATGGAGGAGACGCAAGCTCAGTGCAAGGTAATCGAGATATGTACAATCGAATTAATTAAGTTCCGAAAATAGGATGCCGTTGTTGCCTCTTTTTACATTCTGTTTTCAGTTTGAGAGGCCACAACCCTAAGCCATGATTCAACAACAGATCTCGATAGAGTGCTTTCGATGTTGAATGAATCTACGAGGTGTTAAGGATCAAGCTAATGCTGCAGTTAGTTGATTAAGGAACTATCTCTAAGTTGTGACCTAAAGTATGAACATTTGAGCTACGCAAGAATCAAAGAACAACTGCAAATTTAATTTGGGGGAGAGGGCAGTCGAAGCACACCCTCGGGAACCACCTCTCCCCAGTTCTGTCAACAGCTGCAAATGCCGCCCGGTGTGGAAGTGCCTTGATCCGAAGCCTTGTCGGGTCTCAAGAGATTGGTCGGCTTCAATTTGCCGGTGTCGGCTGTCAAACTGGGAGTGTCTATAATCTTATGCACGAGTTCATCGAAGCAGCGTTGGACATTGATGCTCGTCTTCGCACTTGCCTCCAGAAACAAGCACCCATGCTGCCTCGCAAACGCGATCCCTTCTTTCTTCGTCACCACGCGCCCGCTCTCCTCCAGATCCACTTTGCTGCCTACCAACATCATAATGCAATCTTTGTTCGTGGAGTAGCGATCTACTTCTTTCAACCATACGTCCGACAAATCCGTGAAGGTCGCCCGTCTTGTGACGTCGTAGACGAGGATTATACCCTGAGCGCCTCTGTAGTAGGAACTTGTTAATGTTCGGAACCTCTCCTGGCCCGCCGTGTCCCAGATGGTGAGCTTCAGACGCTTCCCTTGGAGGTTGAGCATCTTCACCTTGAAATCCACTCCAATTGTCGGCGAGAGATCATCGAATTTGCCAGCTGTGAATCGAAGGAGCAAACTACTCTTCCCCACGCCAGAATTGCCAATCAGGAGGATCTTAAACAGGTTATCAAAGTCGACATCACCGAGGCCGGCCATGGACGTCCACAACAATCCTATCAATTCTTCTCAGCAACCCCACCTCACCTTCAGAAGCTCTGCGACCCTCTCTTCCCCCAATAACATCCCCAAAACCTCTCCAAAATATACCCTAAACAAGTCCTGCACGCAAAACGTCGACAGACTTTGACAGGCCCCGCCTGCCAGCAGATTTTTTAACCGGATCACCGAAAGTAGGGTACAACGTCGCCGGCCATGCAATGGTTTACACTGTTCGATAAGTTATTTAATCTCTGCACCGACTTCCACGAACATCAAAAGAAAAAGTACTCTATCAACTACAGAAATCTAGTTCACCGTCCTAGAAGCAGATTTCTGTGCACCAGCACATGATAGAATCGACGCCAAGCAACAGGATCAGCAAGTATCAACACAACGGCATACACGAATGCAGGATCAACAAAGGCGGGGAGCATGAGGCAATCTCGAAATCCTCAAGACCAGGGACATGCACGGTTAATGTTCCTGTGAACTGTGAGCTTTGCCGTCAAGGAACTGTCGCATACAAACGCCATCTTTCACGAGCATTGATGTTTTCAATGCAAAAGAGTAGGTGTTCTGTTGAACTGGTCAACGTAGGTGGAATCTGGGTTCACTCTCATTCTATTTGCCGCCATTTACTACGTCGTCACCTCTGTAATTGGCCAAGATTTCTCCAGAACTGCTTCACATCATGCACGTCGATTGTTGCGATTTTTACTGCACAAAGTTGACTGATCATGCTCAACCTTCGATCATCGTTACTCGTTAGCATCGGGGCGGTTGCTGGATGACTGTTGGTTTCTTTTGCTTATCATCGCCAGAGCATGGAAGGGGGCCTGCACGATCCGAAAGTGATCGTGTCAGCAGAATCAACCTTACGTTTCGACGTCTCATCCTCTTCTCTAGTCCTCAACCCAGGGTTGCAGTATCCGAGGGAACATGCTGGTTTGTTCAATAGCGAGGTTCAGTCACGAATTTCTATCTTAATCTAGTGAAGAGATGCTCACTATGCTTTGCGTCTAAAACTCAAGTGCGTGAGACTAATTCTCTGCGCATAGGATAGGCCTTTGAAGATTTCGTCTCACTCCGGACCACCACTAATGCGACAATGACAATGGTAACCACGTGAATTACCAGAGCACTTCAGTGATAATCAGAGATCAATTTCCATTACACAACATCTAGTCTTGCATCCAGCGTAGCGAAACCCTAATAAGCGAAAACAAGCAAACGTCCATGTTCATGATCTGCCCAAGCTGGTGAGGATTGTGAGCATTGTAGTACTAGTCAATTGTGTAGAATTTAAAATGTAATAAACAAGGGTACCCATGAACACCAACAGTAACATTACTATGTCACAATAACTTCACACCAAAAATCGTATAGTTTTTTTGGCGTGGCAGTGCGTGAGATTGAGGCGCTATTTCAAGGACTATATTGTAGACACAATTTGAAGCACCAGAGTGGAGATGCTATGGTGATGCCCACCAATTCACACTTTCTATCTACAACGAAAACCCCAGCATCATACGTGCCACCGAATACAGGGCATTGCATGATACGGGGATTATCGTACTCACAATCTCTACAAAACTAAGCTGCTACACTACCGCTGTCGACGCTTAAATTTGCAGAAGACCCTTCTTAAGAACCCAACTCAAAAGGAAGACTTCTTCGAGTTATTTGACATCGGAATTGTTGAGAACATACTCACTCAAGCTAATCTGCATCAATGATATCATCTCGGTGATCTCATCTGAGAAGCCCTCTTCGGAATCGTCGATTTCGTACTCGGCGTTGAAAACCGCTGTGGAGGTGGCGCCGTCGTCGCTCGAGACGTACCTTATGGTTGCCCTCATGGATTTGTACCGGGGATCGCCTTCTAATACAGTGTAGCAGATCGAGTGCGAGGCCTCGTCAACCTCATCGATACGTTCCCGAATTTTCAACCCTTCCTGTATTGCTGTAAGAAATGGACAGGCATTTGTAACGTTCGCTCAGGGAAAATAAAATAAAATAAAATAAAGTAAAATCTTGCGATACCCAAATGGCGTCGCTGAACTACGTAGAGCGATGATTGATCGCATTCTAAACTCGTCCGCCAGACTCACACATTGCTGCAGCGTTCAAATCTCGAAAGCTAATTCAAGACTTGCGCAAACGAGCGGGACCCAAAATCATACAGTTCCTTTAAAACCTTAACCTAGAAGCCCTGAATCCAAATGCGACCACCGTTTTCCATTACTATTGAAGCATTGAAAAGTGCCATAGACCACAAATAAGCTGAAAATTGCTTGCCTAGCGCCAAACAAAACACAGGATCTTGCACAAGCAGGTGTAAGCAAAACTTGCGGTGCGGGAAATGTGAGGGAACCAAAGACTTGATCGCGAGAGCAAAACTTACCAGGGCCACAATGATACACTCGGATCGTGCCAGGCCCACCGTCACCGACCACATCACAGCTGCTGAACACATCGGGAAGGATCTTCGGCATCAGTACCCCAATCTTCTTCGCCGCGCTCCATATTTTTTCGACAGGAGCTCCCAGCTTCACCTTCACATCGGCTTTCTCCAGTGCCATTGTCTCCCACTATTGCGAGCTCGTGAAACTGCAACACGCAAGAAACCTAATCTCGCTGCCGATCTCAGGTGAATGAGCTCACCCCTGATCCCTTTTCTACTACATCTCCCCTGCACATGTTGCCAACTTGTCGTGACTCAGACACAACCAGTTCATCCGTCATCACAACCCCAATCGGCCAATTTCTGGATCCCAGCACTCGACTTGTCAAACGCTACAATTGTGCAATTCAACGACGAGGAGAAGCCCTGATCCTAAATCTCTGGATTCGGAATTTCGGCAGCTTTACAATTTCAAAAGGTTTTGCTTTACTGAGGGGAATTAGTTTTCTATTCTGGGGATATGTCTTGAAGTTAACGCCGTGAGCAAGTGCTGGTCAAAATGTTTGTGCAAACCACCAACTGCAAGGTTTTTGTGACACCAAAGCTCTAATTCTGAGAAGAGCTGCATCAGAGACTCTGCACTTAAAGACGTTTAAGTTGGCTTCTGTCGGTATGCGTTTTCTATTGCATGATACAAAACATGGACAATATGGTCTAGGTACAATGTTGTAATTGGTAGCTTTTAAGTTCAATACGAATATATTACATAGCACAGAGACTGGTACATTCAACAGTTTTATGCTTTCAATCGGAATATTCCAAGGAGATTTTATGTGGATGGGGGAAATATTGGGGCATAGACGTAGCTGGATTGTCTTTGAAAAGCAAGGCAAACCTGGTAGATTTGAACAAGGATGTGACAAATGGAAATCATTTTATAAAAAGTTGGTGTACTTCTTGGTTGGGAACATATACTTTTTGAGTCACAGAATAAGAAAGCTCTAAATTACTCGTAAAATCCCATACGTTATAATTTGAATTTGAGGGTATCAATATGTCAGCATTCAAATATACTGTAAATACTGTAAATACTTCAATACTCGTTTACAGCTTCCAACAGCTAGCTAACCAACACCCGGATCCAATCGTTTAATAATATACTATTTTCAATTAACTAAACTTAAAAGAAGTTGAAAGAGGTGTTTCTAAAGGAGCCAGCTATACAGCTACCAAAAATCACGCAAATCAAACTTTGTTCAATTGCAAAGAATGTAGATTACAGCACAATGATGTATTTGTACTTCACAAAGTCAGCAAATCCAGTCACCTTATGTTTAGAGAAGCAGCCTCACAAACCTTGATCCAACACTTGTCATCAATGAACACTTGGAATAATGTGACCTTGTTTCGTTCTGGAGCTGGTAGTCGCATTCCTTCTGGAACTCCAATTTCCCCCCGATTGTGCGAACTACACAAGAGTTCTTCCACGGAGGTATTTCGAGAAGCTCACAACATGAATATTCAGACTCGTTCCCGATCATAGACTCCCCTTGAAGCCTCCCGTAAAATTCAAATGCTTGAATATTCGAAATTATTCACGTTTCACGTCATCCCACCATACATCATAGACGGATGTCAAAGACACCAATGCATGCTGGACACGTGAAGTAACGACGAGTCAGAAATCCATCCAACACCTCATCTAATGATTTGTAACTGAACGTGAATTGTACATCTTCTGCATATCGATCTGATAACCTTCAAGACGGAGAAAAACCTCGACAAGGTTCGACTTTGCTCTGCCTACTTGAACACTCGACACAGATTTATATACGCTAACTGCAAGGGGCACTGCTGGGATTATGAAATCAACTTTACAATCGTGCTGCAGAGTTACCTGCTGTGAACTAATCTTTGTAAATTTGTTAGTTTTCTGTTCATTTGAATAAGATTAATAACCCGATGCATAAGATATGCAACTAATTCGAGCCTTTCTAATTACAAGCTGTGGACCATTAATGTGTGAGAACTGGAATCCTAAGAATGATCAAATACATTGGCAACATTTTCACAATTTTTACGGGGTTGTTATCTGGCTTGTACCAAATCGGTAACTGTTGCTGGCGGTGGCATAGGTCCCACCACGCTCAAATCCGGAACTGGTGGCTGGATTTGATCTTTTAGCGTATAATATACTGGTACAGCTGGAGTAAGGGAAGTCCTTGCTTCGTATCCGCGCTCCTTCATCCAAGCTGGATCGAGTGAAGGCAAGGAAAATGGGTCTACTACCAATGCAATCGGAAACTCGGGCAACTTTGGTGGACTCCGTGGCATTCTGCAGTCCGACATTCGTCCTTACGAAGCCATCAATGCTTGGTCGTTTCGCAAATACCCTCCCTTACAGTAGAGCAATGTATGGCTAACATGCATCGTCCTAAAATGCCAGTAACAAAACAATTAGAAAAATAATCGCACTGATAGTATGTCACTTACTTTTCATTCAGGTAATTATCTCTGAAAATGCGTCCTTTGCTCGACGTCTCCCTGGGTATTCTGTTTGAGAGGTACTTCATCGAACCCCACACTATGGGAAGTCTGCATGTCATCAGGTACTTTAGCATGATCCTCATAGACGGATGGATTACTCGTATAAGTTTAGACAGTTCATCTGAAGACAGACCTCATAAATTACGAAAATGTATGTAGTTGAAGACTATACTTTGTAAGAGGTTCCGTGTTGCCAAACTCATTTCGAGCTTTTTGACTTCCTTTCAAAAAAGCATGTGAGGCTTTCATGCACGATAAAGACTGTGCGTGTACGTTGTCTTCACACCCCTCCTCGAGAACTTGGCTGTGGTAATAATAGGCTGCCGCCTGTGAACAGAACAAAATTGTTACGAATGCCTGGAAGCATAACTCAAAAGTCCAAGAGCGTGTTAAGCTGATTCGCGTTTTTGAAAGACCATTATGGGTGCAGAAATTCTTAAGATCTTCATCAATTAGTACGAAAATCACAATCATCCTACATCAATTATTGGACGCAATACCTTAGCTTCATTAAGTTTCCATTTCACGAAGAGTTCATGCTTGTCCCTCAGTGCTTTCGCCAAGGGCACTGAGCCTAGCTTTTGGACTACCTGTCATGCATTTCAGATGATTAATAAGTGCCTCTGCATACAATATATTTTCTCTAACACGAAAGTAATGCATTCAGTATCTCTTCATCCAATAAGAAATACCCAGCAAGGTGGAGTTTTGCAGATGCTATGGATCGTGTGGGAGTCCTTTCAAACACCTAAGTGCTCTGTAGAACAACGCCTGTCTAAATGTATCAGGACATAGAATAATCAATTAGAACACCTACCTTATCCCATATTTCGACTTGCTCACAGGCTAGTCTTCGTTTCACTGCGAGAGATGCTTTCACACTGGCAACCGCAAATCCCAATTGCAGCTCCACGGCCTGCGCAACAAAGTTGGAAAGACTGGTCCCGTTCAATACTCATAGTGAACAGCTTTCTCGCAGTTACGGCAAGGAAAGTTAATACAACGATGAAACAGATAGTACCTGGCCTAAAGCTTGCAGCTCCAAAGACCTAAACATTGCCTCGGTTACGTCGGCTGGCAACTTCGCCCTGCAGATTCGCCCACAAAAAATGCCACGAGCATCTCAGTATTTTTCCAGCATATGCTTTGTCAAGGACTTTTCAACCCATTGAATGTAGAAATTGAGAATCTTGAACGTCAAAAAAGTCCATGATATCGTACTTAATCTCATCTGGAGTATTGGGCAGCACAGCTCTTATGGCACACTCGAAGTATGATGCAGCCTTCAACAATAAATCGATGGCTCTTCTTTTGCTCTCTGTTGCAACCACTTGCTCGATTAAAATAACAAAACATTCTGCGCGAGATATAAGATAGCTTTACCTCTACCACAATTTAATCCAATAGATCCTATCGACTAGGTCGACTTCAACGAGGCATTTTAATCTACTGCAATGGCAATGTGGAAAGTGGAAAAGCTAGTAGGAGTTACCATCGGATACATTGTGCGAAGAAAGACTCGCAGATAAGTACCGCCCAAAAGCAAAGACTGGATGCAAAGCAAAGCACATGCCTTCATCAACTTTGAAATAGTACCCATCTGCTGGCGGTTTTGATGTTAAGTATGCATTGGCTTCTTGTAGAGCCAGCATCCCTAAAAGATGTAGCACGGACAGCAACTCATAATACCCACTTGCAATTGCAGTATCCTACATGAGGGAAAATAATGACAATACTTAGTGGAAAAGCGGAATATACATAATTTATGCTGAGTTTTTCGGTGTTCATGAGGAAAAGGTAGAAAGGAAAAAATCGAGAAGTTTTTTTTTTTTTTTTTTTTTTTTTAAATAAAAAGAAATAAACGGGGAAAGAAAGTTGATACAGACCTTTTTCGCGTCAACCACGTTGGTCCAGGGAAATTTAACAGCCGAACTCAATTTCTCACCTAGACAAAATAAGATAAGATAAGATAAGATAAGATAAATAACACAACTTCTATTTAGTTTCTAACAATGCTGTAAAGATCAAGAAGCAAAATAAACCTTATCTACCTAGATGGACACCCAATGCATGAAGAACATAACAAGGAGAGTAGTCTAGTATCCAAGCTAACATTGCAATGTAACAAGGGATTTTTTTGAAGGAATTGTGGATGTGTCACCTCCTACGACGAGACCCAACAATACAGGTAAATATTCATTCAAAGCCTTCTCCAAATTTAGGTGACTGGTGTCATCTGCAACTCATATTAACCACCTCTGTCAATTCATTGCAAATTACACCCAACAGATTTTAACAAACATATTGTCCAATCGAAGTAGAATTCATTGAGCATGGTTCAAAGAGTAAAGAAAACTGCAGCATAGCATGCTCACCATCAATCGATTTGGCTCGCAGCTTTGTTTTTGCCAGAGACCCATTTCTGCCGGAGAGGGATATTATTTGTGACCGAAGTGATATCAGTTTCGTAGCCAACGCCGGAGACACTTTTCCCTTCAGGTTCACTGCGATCTCACTCTGCTTAGGTTCCCTCAAGCCGGGCACAAAAGCAAATACTTCACTGGACTGAACGGGAGCTTCTAAGGGACCTCCGTCATCAGCATCGGAAGAAAAGATGCATCCCATGATCCTCCAAACCTGACCCCACACATTACACCCATCAATCATGCTGCATTGGAATAATCTTAGTAGAGTAGTGACAAAAAGAAATCATCCAACGTACTCTTAACGGTTATTCCCATTTTTAAAAATTATCGGGCAGTTTCTTCACTCATAAGCTTAACCAATCGGTAGCGTGGTCTTACAGGCCCACAGGCAACCTCAGAAAACCAATCATCGGTTTTCAGCAACATAAAAAATAAAATAAAAAAAATCACCGCTATTCAAATCCTGCGTTCTAGTCGAGTAGATACAGGCTAAACTTCAGCTAAAACTACCATAAACTTATAATCCGCTCGAATGTTGTTGATGTAAACCATGTCTACCTTTGAAGACAAAATTACAAGACATGTTCAAAGTAAGAAAATTGCAATTGCCTTGTCTCTTCAAGACCAAAACATTTAGCAAGAATTTAAAGCTGCAACAAAAGAAGTACTGCTTCAACCTTGCGAGACTTCCAGGTGAAGCACTGCTTAACATCAATCTGTGAAACACCAAGATAGACTCCAGAATCCCAAAATTACAACTGAAACTGAACTTCTAAAAAAATTCAATGCATCACAAAGAGGATCTTTCCATAAAACAATCGGTCCACGTAGCAGAGCCCAAAAACTCGCACTCCCGAATCAAGTGCCAGTCACAAACAAAACCACTCACAAAACACGAAAATCACTGAAACTCGTCTACCGAATTGAGTCCAAAACTCAGCCAGTGCACAATGCACGGCACATCACCACACGCACTCCAAAAAGCACCCACTAATTGACCATCTCCAGGCCAGAACACTCCCCCTCACCTATCAAAACCGGAAGACAAAATTCCAGCCAACTGCAGCCAGCAAACCACCTCGCACAAACACCCGGGATCAAAAATCCAGGAACAAAATCTCTGCAAGCTCTCGAAATAAGTCGGTTCCGCTCACGAGACTCAGCAGAGAAGAACACAACACGGCTCCAGCTTCGAATCGGATGCAGGAGGCACAGGGAGGCGGGCCAAGAAGGAATTCCCATGCTTGAGACGCGGTTTTGAAAGGGGAGAGAGCGGTTTGTCGAGCTCATTCAGTCAGTCAGTCAGACGTCTCTCAACAGTAACTGGGTCCTGGGTCCTCGGTCCAGCCACGATCCTATCCCCACGAGAATAGAAAAAATTGCGCAAAGGCGAAGGAGCTCGTATCGCGATGCAATCCCCCCCGATTAAGCCCCATTGAGCTGTGCGACTCCACCGACCAGGACCGATTCCTCGGAGTGCCGGCGGGAACACGGGCACAGGGGTGGGGCGAGGGGGGGGAGTGAGCGAGAAAGAAGAAGAGTCCATGACCGCAACCGTGGTGTCGGGATGCCGTCTTGTGGGGCACGTCTATTCCAACGGCACGGGAACAAGGGGGAATTTAGTAAACGGAGATGAATTCAATTCCCGACGGGGTTCAGGATAACTGAGCATCAGGAAGCTTCTAGAAGGGCGGAAGGCTTAATTTTAGGGTTTCCCTCCTTGCAGCTGCAGGAACCCCCTTCCCAACTCTTCGTCTGATTGGATACCGCAATGCTGTGCTGTCATTCCCGCCCTTCACGCTGTCTGAACAGTGAGTTTATTGATCCCGGATGTGAGCGTGACTTCGCTTTCTACTTTCTCCCCTCCTCGGTCAAAACCCGTTAATTCTAATAAACATTTATTCTTCTTCATCTTTTGTGGGGGGGGGGGGGGGGTTACTGCGCATCTCTTTTCCGCCAAACATGGAAATATTAATTTTTTAAAAGTGTTTCTATGTTATGTATATGTCCAAAAGATCGTCGTTTTTTCTAGCTTTTGGCCCCATGTTCGAACGAGGTGCTTTTACTTACCTTACACGTACCACAAAATGGTGGAAAACATGTCCGGATGAAAACACAAAACTCTAGAGAAAAAGCTTGTAAGTTGGGGCGATTTGAAATAACATAAAGCACAGTATCTGATTTGTGTAAAGAACACTTAAAAAAGGCATTGGGCACATCACCAACTTCCTTTTCCAACATGGAGAATGGCTTTTCGGCTTTATTGGAATGACCTTCGCATTGACCTTTCATCTCAATCCGAACCACCACTTACGGATGAATGCAGTTACATCCATAATGAGGTAGGAAACAGCAACGAAACCTCCGCCGACTCTTGTCAAAGGCAAAAGGAACCCTTCTCCACCACAGGATTCCCACGGGCAGATGCTTGAAAATTTACCAATGAGAGAGTCTGCCCGTTTCGTCTGCCCGGACCTGGATAAGCCTCCGGGGACGATGCGCTTACTGACTGACCGGGTCCCGCAGTTCCTCTAAGCTTGTGGCTTATATTCATTGTTGATTCCCAAGGGCTATCGTTACGATAAATTTAGGGTTTCGAGAAATACTTGGCCCTCCCTCGTCCCATCCAAAGGGGAATTCTAGGGTTTGGGGACACCGTTCTCTCACTATCTTCGTTTATCATGAATTTAAAACATGAGGTGTATTGACTTAAATAGAACATAGTATTTAGTCTAAGAGAGGTAAATATTGGAATTCATGTGTAATTATTTTCTTGCGTATCAGTTTGTAAAATATTAAAAGATGCATGTCAAAAAAAAAAAAAATACAGGATTCTGAAATTAATCATGTTGAACAGAAATTGTTAATTTTTTTTATTTTATTTTACTTTTTCCGTATCTTATTTTAAAAACAAATATTGGCTTCATAATTTGGCATTTTCTGAAACATGGATACAAAAATATGCACATTGGTTTCTCAAAACAAAATTTGTAATTGATTGATAATTTTAGGTTAAAAAAAGAGGGTGTGAGATTGATGACAACATACTAATATTGAGCATTCAATTTGTAACAGCAATATGTGTATTTTTGTAAATCTGTGGAAATTCATAATTTCTGTTATTTTTTGAAAATATTCATTAGAACATGTAGGCATGAATGTAATGTGTAAGAATGTTCAAACTTTTTGTATATTTATGTTTTTTTTAATTTTGTTTGCCTCAAAAGTTTTTAACCGTTTTATCTGGTATTCAGAAAACTTATTTTTTAATTTTAAATAATTTAATTATACAATTGATGCATTGGAAACGCTAAGAAAATTATGTTTCATTTTTTGTAATTTAAATCTCATCCAATATATTTAGTCTCAGCAAAAATAGTGCAACTTGTGTTTTTAAACCAAAAATATGCTACTCAGTCTAATTAAAAACCCCTTTTAGTCTGTCATAAATTATATTTTATTTTTACTTTCTTGTCAAAACAATATGTACAACATCTATTATTTCTTCGTCAGAAAATTAAATTCTTTGGACAAAAAAAAGTATCATTTAGCACATGCTTGGAGGGTTAAGATAACAAGCATATTTCTATACTGAGTACTTTTCTATCTTATTATTTCTTTTGTCTAACATGATTTTTTTTTTTTTTTTTTTTTTTTTTTTTTTTTCTGATAAGTTTAAAATACATTTATTTGAAGTGAGATGCAAATAAATATAATTATAAATATGCATGGAATCATACAAAAGAAAAGAAAATATAAGATACAACTATTAACCATATACAACTCTATCCACTATCTCTTTCAATTCTACATTTATTTCTTTTTCTTATTAGAAGACTTATATCTAAAGAATTTATGTCTAGTATAGTGAGAATTCAAATCTTACTTAATTTTTTAATTTTTCTAAAAAGATCAATGTATATTCTTAACTAAAATAAGATTTTATATAAAAATATATTTAATAAGAATCTATATGTTTTTACTTATTAAAATTTAGTTTTTTTTATTATATATAAATTATTTAATTTTTTCAACCATATTCCAATTATTACTTAATATAGAAATAATATCACAAAATAAAATATAAGAAAATTCAAGCTACTAATTATTTCTTTTTAAAAATTTTCTAGAAACACATAGAACCACTAAATTAAGGAAATATTTAAAATATCCTTGGAAATAGTTGATAGAGTTGTGTTGTCTTTAAGTGATCTTATATTGTTTGCTAATTCTTCAAAAGAAAAAAAACTAATAAATGTATCCTAATAAGACTAACATCATTGGAAGTTTTTACATATTCAAGGACAACTTTAAGTATAAAGAATTTGTTATTAGAACATCTTGAATTTTCCAACACAAATGCACTTAAATTTTATAACTATTTTCAAAAATAGATAAAATTTAATATTCTTTTCAAATACTTAAAACATAATTAAATTTAAGAACCTTAAGATGATTTTTATATGCACAAAATTATAATGGATAATTATTAATTTTACATAGAATATTGTTAAGAAGTATTAATCTTTGAGCCTATCAAAATGTCTTTATAATGGCTTAACTCTTATACAAAATTATACATTATCATCTCTTTTTAATATTCTGTATATTCAAAGGAAGCTTGAAATTGACATCTCTCCAGAATTTTAAACACTACCATCTTTTAATATTATATGAAAAGCTAAATTATCTAAGTCAATAAAAATATCATGAAAAAAGAATTTGTTAACCATGATTAGTTTTACCATGAATTAGAAGTATTAGATTTGTTGAAAATGTTAAGAAAGATATAAGAGTAATAGTAAGTAATACACACAAGAGGATTTATAAGGAGAGAAAGCTTCACATATAAAAATCTATTGATCTGGTTGTGTCTCATATACAGGAGGAGAAAGAGAAGAGAATAAACAGTTCTTCCCCACTATATTCCAAATATTGTAGCTATGGTATTTACTATAGTCTATAGTAAAAGTTATGGAGAGTATTGGCTACATTTAATGCTCTCAACACTCCTCCTTGCTCATCATAATATTTACATAATATAAAATTTGTATAGAATTATGATCTATACTTTTATATGATCTCGCAAGATCAATAATTGTTGCCTCATTAAAATCTTATCTAGGAAAACCTTATTGTATTTAAGGACAAAACCATAGATGAAAGAAAAAGAATACACCATCATGTTTCTTAATTATTTAAAGAGCTCATTAACTTTCTTATTCAAGAAAAGTAAGTCATTACATACCAATGCCATAAGTAAGTCGATGATGGTTGCACAATGGGAGAGCTTTGGTGAAGAGAACAACAAGGTTATTTATAAATTCAATTTTCTTAATTATAAGTTCTTGATCAATAATCAAGTCATGGATATAACTAAAATATTTTTGATCAATATGCTTTGTCATGTCGCCTTTAATAAAACCAACTTGCATCTGTGCAATACAAGCACTATTATCTTCATGCAAGATAGTTGGAGAATCATCATATGAAAATCCACAGGTTGCTTGAATGAATTTATTAATTGATCACAACCAAATATATTCTCGAGATGCTTCATGTAAGGCAATAATTTTTACATGGTTGGATGAAGTTGTAGTTATTGTTTGTTTCATTGATTTCCATGATATTGCAGCTCCATGTCTTAAAAATACATATCTTATTTGAGATTTAGCTGTTGCAGTATCAGATTTATATCTTGCATCACAATATTCAACTAATTTTCGATCTGTAGATTGTATATAGTATAATCCTAAGTCTTCAATACCTTATAAATAATGTAATAAATATTTGATGCCATTCCAATGTCATAGTATTGGACGTGCACTATGTCTTACAAGAACACTAACTGCAAATGTAATATCTAATCTTATAGATGTGGCCAAATATAAAAGTGCTCCAATCGCTGCAAGATATGGATATTGATCTCCTAATATTTCTTCCTCCTCTTTGTATGGACGGTATGGATTATGAACATCATAACCACATCCAACCATTGGTGTAGACAATGGATAAACATCAATCATATTAAATCTTTGCAACATTCGTCTTATATACATTAGTTGATAAAGAAAAATGCTACCATGTGTTAGATGCATAATCTGAAGAGTAATACAGAAAGTTATTTTTTAAACTTATTTGTAATTAAATAATCTCAAAGATATTGATATCATATGCGCATGGATTATTTTAAATCATACAAGGCCTTACATAATTTAATCATAATTTAATACCATGATATTGTCCTAGAACAAGTCCATTTGGAGTTCCTGTTTCTAAATCAGATAGAACTTTCATATAAATATTTGATTTAAAAAAACCATATAGATATGCAGTTACTACATCCATCAAATGCATTTCAAAGGTGGCATGAAGTGTTATTCCAGTAATATATCGAAATGTAA